AGAGCCTCAGAAGGAAAAACCAAAACATAAGCTGTCGTGGGATGAGAGGGTTCCTGTCCTGGACTAGCGACCGCCTGGCGGGTAGGAAACCAAGCGGTCGGGTCTCACAACATCACAGAAGTCCCGCAAGGATTTTCTCTGAGATCGCCGCCGCCGAGCAGCGGTAACGGCTCTGCGACGGAGAGGAGGAAGGGCTGCGTTACAGGCTCGGCGGGCTTTGCCGTCGGAGGGCTGCCGGGGCCAGCGGCAGCACCGGGCAGCTGCAGAGGGATCCGGCAATCCTGGGTGGCCGGGCAGCGCAGCGGCAAAGGAAGCCTGTGCTAGCAGGGGTAAGGTAATGCTCGTCAGTCGTATTTTGTTCCTGCCCTCCGCCCTGTGCTGGGGACAACTCTCGGTGAGTCAGTGCTGCTTGCAAAATACCCTGAAGTCATCGCTGACAGCCTAGAGCTCCGGGCTTAGAAACGGTCAGGAGGGGAAATAGAAGTGGAGGAAGTTTTGGAATGAGAACCAAGCAGCCCCGTTGTTATGTTGTTGTCGGCCTGCGTGGCCGGAGCGCGTGCAGCTGGGGTGTCCCGGTGAGCCGGCCTCGAGGGACCGTCACGCGCTGCCGGCGGTGCCAGGGAAGTTGCCCGAGAGAGTCGGAGGTATGGGAAAGCTGCTGCGCAAGGAGGGGTTGGAACAAGCGGGATTCAGCCTGGAAAAGCAACGAGTGGGGCAAGGAGGGTGGTAGGAGAGGTGAGGCGCAGCAAATGGAGGCGGAAGGATTACTGTCGGTGTGATGGCGTTTGCCGGTGCGAAGCGGGGAGAGGAGGGAGTGTCTCTGCACGGTCCGCGATCGCAGAACTCATTGCTTCGGGCTGTTTGGGAAATGTGAGTGGTTTCAAGAAACAATTAAGCAAATGAGCAGAGGATGGGCATCGGTACAGCTGATGACACAGCTTTTTGGAAGCTGTGTGCATTTAGTGGAAGAGAAATGTATTCATATGTTTGTCCATACTTATGTGGTTTCTCCGCGTATCTGCTGTCGGTCACTACAGGAGACAGGTAAGGGCATGACAGACTTTTTGTTTCACGAGGTGAAGACACTGTTGTTAGCAGTTTTGGGATAAATCTGCTGTGGGTGCTGGAAACGGGGGATTGCCGGCTGTTCCCGGCCAGGGCGCTGGACGGCAGTGTCTGGGACGCGAGAGGAGGCAGGACTTTCACGCGCGTCTGTACTTTGACGATCAAAACCTGAGTCCAGTGAGATACCTGGACAGTAAAAGTTAAGTATAAGAGTGCGTGCACAGGGTGTAATTCCCGGACTGCCTTGAAGGTACTGCGTCGCTCACTTGTTCCCTGCGCAGGATCAGTTGCCTGCGGAGGACGGGCTGTGTGGGGTTAGCCAGCCAGCCAGCGCCGCACCCCGCAGCCGCGACAGCCTTTAGGTTTCAAGAGGGCAGCAGCTATTTGTTTAAGTCTTTGTAGAGGTTTGGGGCTTTTTTTTTTTTTTTTTGTCCTTTCTTTCTTAGTACTCATAGCTGACACCTTGTGCTTTGTGTAGGTGATAAGTTTCCATCACCTCCGGAAGAGCACATTTGTGTGCGCTTCTGTATGGCAGCAGCTACTACAAGTGATTTATCTGAAGGTGTGGAACGAGAGCACCGCTTGTGGGCTATCCTACCTTGCCTGGAAGAGCAGCCGCCTTCCTGCACGGCAGGAAGGGTTCGCTGGCAGAATGCTTGAGAAGGACCTCCCATTAGGACACGACTTCTGCAAATAAAATCAAATCGTATCATGTGAGGTAGTGGTAATAATTAAACTGAACTGCAGCGAAGCCCTGGTGAACGACAGGTACCTTTAAATGTTGTGGCTCTGCTAAGATGTACTTGCTTGCAGAACCTACTTGGCCAACTTACAAATCAAAGGAAAGTAACTGTTCACGTTGCGGCAGCACACACGGTCATCACAGCCAGGGATCACATTGTGCTGAGTGCTGAAGGTGAGTTTTCGAGGTTCCTTTGCGTGGCCCGGGGAGCAGGGGAGGTGTTGTGAGACCTTATTGCAGCCTTCCAGTACTTAAAGGGGGCTTATAAGAAAGATGGGGACAGACTTTTTAGCAGAGCCTGCTGCGATAGGGCAAGGGGTAACGGTTTTAAACTTGAAGAGGGTAGATTTAGACTAGATATAAGCAAGAGGTTTTTTACAGTGATGGTGGTGAAGCACTGGCACAGGTTGCCTGGAGAGGTGGTAGATGCCCCATCTCTGTAAACATTCCAGGTCAGGTTGGACGGGGCTCTGAGCAACCTGCTCTGGTTGAAGGAACTTGCATGAGCTGTAAGGTTGTTCCACCGCGATGAACCTGCCACTCCTCTAGGTTATCCTAGCCCTGGGAAACAAAAGCTGGCTGTACTGAGATGCGCCTGCTATCACCTACAACCTGGAAGCCCATGAGGAGAGGCTTCTGAAGTCGAAATCACAGCTCCGCTCTGCAGGGCGGTGGAGCAGCCGGGGGACCTCCCGTGGTGTGGAGGCTCTGTCCTGCCCCTGCAGAAGACCTTGGCTGAGTTTCCTAGAAGCCAGACCCTCGTCTTGTGTAAAGAAGTACAACATGAACAGTGTCAAGTTGGGGTCTGCACAAAGCATAGTCAGAAGGAGGTGTCTCTGATTCTGTGACGTCCTGCGTCCCCTCCTGACACCCCCCTTCCCCAGCCTGCTGTGCCCCTGCGGCTGAAGCCGTGCTGACCAGACAGACTTCAGCATGCCTTTCTAGCACTTGCTTCTCAAGCAAATGAAAAGTGGGATGGTCTGTCAAGGCAGAGGAAGTTACTTCAATAAAACCTAGAATTACTTGTGCGTCTAGAATTTTTTTTTTTCTTAGTTTATGAAGTGGGGGTAGAAGAATGTTTACTTTTTAAGTGGGCTGCTCTGTGAGAAATCGGGATGAGTTCCTTAGTAGAGTTAAAAGAAAATGTAAGTAGTCAGCATTAGGACGTTCTATAATTTAGTATTTAATCCTATGAACGGTAGCATTTGTAATTTAGTTTATGTGGCATTGTACTGACTCAGAGTTCCTGCAAAAGCAAGCTACTTCTTGAATTGTATAGTACTGTGAAACCTCCCTCTCTCTTGCTGCATTTCCCTGGTAGAGAGAAGCTGTAAAGTCTAAAATACATTTGTCTCTCTTGTGAAGACCTGTGAATTAAGATATATGTTATAAAGCAACTTTTCGTACGACTGACTCAAAAAAGCAGGGAGTCTTCTCTGCCATTGCATTGGAGAAAGAGTGCGTGAATCGCCCGAGAATAGGCAGTAAGGTATTTCCCTAGGAAAACTTAGCTTTTTCTTTCCTTTCTCCTGTTTGTTGTGTTGAGCAACAGCATTGGGATTTTTCCTTCACTGTATTACGGATGTATCCGCTGCTCAGAGCCTTCTCCACGGAGAAGGCTGTCGGTCTGTTGGGAGCATAGGGCAGGCAGCCTGCCAACCGCTTCCTGCTTCAGCTGAGAGTGGGTTTCAGACTCAGCAGGATGGTGCCCATTTTGAGTGGGCATTTAAGCATTTAAAAGGCTTATGTGGTGGTAATGTGTTTGCTGCTGGCCCTTCCGTGCCCAGGTAACAGCTTTTGTGGGACCGCAGGGCTTATCTGAGGAAATACTTGCTCACCCCGAGAGCCACAAGGTTCTTCCATAATACTTTTTTTTTTTTCTCCTCCCCCTCTGTTTTTTGCAGGTGTTTCTTGAACTCTTCAGTGTGTCACAGAACTGTTGTGTTTTGGGATATCCTGCTTAAACGCTTGGAAGAAAATCTGCCAACAGCCAAAAATGACTTGAGTTGGAGAGCTGCTGCTGTATCCACAGGTAGTAGCGTGTTGGTAGCTCAGTGGCTTCTCAGAACCGCAGCACTGCACTGCTTGCCTTCAGCAAGTTGCTCGAGGAAGGCGTTGTCGCTAGGGTCTCTCTCGGACGGGCAGTGATCTGCATGTGTTTGCCTCCTGAGCAGCACCGGGACGCTGGGTATCTCCGTACCACTCCCATGTTTTTGGGTGCATCCCAGAGCAGCCACGTCGGGAAGTGAGCAACTGCCCTCCTGTCTTCTGTGGTCCCGTGTGCCGCTCACGAGGCATTTATGCTTCAGCACATATTTCCTACGCCAGCCCCTCATCCTGCCTAGGTTGAGCTGCCCTTCGGGCACTCCTGCTATGGGATTGCCCCCTTTTATAGCAGGAGGGGAGCTGGAGCTGTCTGCTAATATGAGGTGGCGCAGAAGGGGACGGGCAGTGCTGTGCAACAGGGTCTGGCTTTGCTCTCTCCAGGGGTAACATCCCTAGAGTAATGTTCATCAAGTTCATTTATGAACCCAAACATACCTCAAACCCTACTGCAGATTAATTGGCTCCCAGCGGCTGTTTAGTGTGGTTTCACATTGCGAGTGCACTCAGTCCACTACGAGCTTCCAGAAGCTTCATGTGAGGTCCCCAAGTGTGTCAGTACAGGCTGGGGAGACTCCCACTGTTCACGAACTTGTAGCTTCCCCCCCCCAGTTACATGCCTCGTTGTGTGCTTCGCTAGTGTTCATGCCTATGCTCAAGTAGCAGCTCAGTTCTGGAAATGCTAGTGGTGGGATTTGGATATTGGCTGGCTGGGATGGGAGGTGAAGGAAAGCAAAGTGGAGACTTCCCCTGCCGCTGGTATGATACTGGCTGTGTTAAGCTTGACTGTCACTTGTGGAAGGGAATAGAAAAACAGTTTGAGTGGCAGCGGCCTCAGATCACCGTTACGCGGCATGTGATGGCTAATGGCCAGCTCAGGTCTCTCCGTTTGATGTTTGAGGTGGTGGACTTTGAAATGAGATCTTTAAACAACCTGAAATTTTAAAAATGCTCCTCTGTTCTCCCTCTCCCCTCCCGTTGCCCACGCGCCGATATTTATATATATACACGCATGCCTGTGCACGCAGCCTTGACTGAGATGTGTTCCTCTCTCCCAGGACCAGCTTCCTGCCCGGTGTTAGTCGTCCCATTTGGATGCACCATACACTATGGTTCACATCAATGTGTTGAAAAAATTCACATGTGTTCTTGTGGTGATACTGGTAGCTCTGACAGTTTGCCTGTGGAGAGAGACGAGAAGAAGCTACTATGTTCCTTTCAAGACCAAGAGTGATGATTTGCAGGTTCACAGGAGTTCGGAAAAATGGAACCCACTTAAACCGCAGAGCCTTTTGCATGAAGCAGCCAGTGAATTGGGTCAGATACCCAAAACGTGGTTTGGTAACCACAACACAGTAAAAGGCAGCACCTCTGGAACTGCTGAAAAGTCCAAGAAAGCAGTAGACTCTGTGAAGGTATGGGATAAGGACAGTTCATCCAGAAACCTCATACCCAGGCTGCAGAAGGTCAGAAAAAACTACCTGTCCATGAACAAGTACAATGTGACTTACAACGGGAAGCGGAATGCTGTGAAACTCAGCCCAGAGAAGCTGCTCTGCCAGCTACGGGACAGGGTGAACGTGACCATGATACAGGGATCGGATGGTCCTTTTGATACCTCTGAATGGCAGCAATACCTACCAGGGAAAAGCCTCAATGAAACAGCGGGCCGCCTGGGTCGCTGTGCTGTCGTGTCTTCAGCAGGGTCTCTGAAATCATCGCATTTGGGACAAGAGATAGGTTGGTATTTTTGTATTAGCATGAAGTCAAGTAACATTGAATAGAAATAACGCTGAACAGACGTAACCTACTGTCATACTCTTACCAGTAACTCTCTGCTGTGGTCACAAAGGTGTTCAAAATAAGTTGAAAAATTGTCCTTAAACTTAATTTAAAGTTAGTGAACATTACAGCCTAGGAGGAGATGGGAGTAATGATCAGATACTCCCTTCCTTTCCGAGTGTACACGCCACACAGTGCAGGCTGCCTTATGATGCCCTTGGATCACAGTGCCTGTAAGCCTTAGACCTTGGGAAGACCGAAACAGGAAAGCCCCAAGGCAGGGGAAGGGTTGGGTTGAGCTGAGAGAACATGACGTACGTGCAGGTAGTTCTATTCCAGCTAGTCTTTTTAATTTTCGTGAATGTGTTGGCATCACCAGAGTGTAGCACTAATACTGGATACCAGGGAGAGGTCTTGGTTCCTCAAGTGTTTGTTTCTTGGGAGGGCTTGGGATGAGTTGAGCAATGCCAGCATGCTCATTGCACAGTCAACAGTCAGAACATTTTTCGTTCAGGAAGACTTCTTCAGAGAAGTAAAAAACAGCACTAAAGGGAAAAAACCCCGCTGGACACAGCCCTCAGCAATCTGCTCTAGTTGACCCAGAGTTGAGCGGAGGGGCTGGGCACAGACAATTGTCAGAGGTCCTTTCCAACCTCAGTGACACTGTGATTCTTGCTCATGGCTTTCCAAAGGTGGCACTGCTTCGTTCTGAACCATAGGGGAGTGGCCCAGGGGACCATGGGAAAACTTCAGAGGGCTTCAGACAAGGTTTGGTGGTGCTTTGCAAAGTCTTATCTGACCGTATTTATCTGAGGTGAATGTATGAATTAATAAATGCTGAAGCATTGGTCTTGTACAGTGGGTTATAAAGTAGCATGTTTTGATACCGAAGCATTTTGTGTCTTTAAGAAAGCAAACATGCAAGGCAAACCAGTTCTCCAGCCTTCAGTTCAGGATTTTATACCTGGCAGAAAATGCTCCTGTGCCTGCAGTTCCCTCAGCTTTCTTCTTCAATTGTTTGAGGCTCAGTTAATATTCACACTTTGCTGAACTGCAGCTTCACTGCAGGAGAAGTTTTTAAAGCCTATGGATGTTCTCTCCAGTGGAAATGGTTTGCAGACTTCAGTGTGTCCGTAAGTTGTCCGTTGGATCAGGTCCCTTTGGCCTGCACTAAGTTGCAAGTAGCCTTCATCCTCTGAAACAATTAGGTAGATGGCCCTTTGGTACTTTATTCATGAACGACCTGGGCAAAGCCTTCAGAATTGTAGTCCTCAGATGCTCACGGGAAGATCAGGGTTTTCTTCTGGTAGTTGCTCAAAAGTTCACCCCCAAACTCCTGTGTACTCCACAGGGCAGGTGGACAGGCACGAGAATGAGGTTGAACAGTCTGAAGTGTGTTAAAATGCTGTGAAAGATGTGATGAAAAAAGGTAGCGGTGGTGGTATTAACCAAGGTAGCATTACCTCCTGGTAAAAATCACAGGTGGGAGTTGGTCGATGTAATTGTTTCTGCCTCTTACAAGTGTTTGAGGCCAGCTAGATCAAGACTTGGGAAGCCAATTCTGACTGAGTACCTGTCTTGGCTTGTTTAGGTGCCTCTTGAAGTTCAGTAGCTAAAGGTTTCCACAGAAGTGACCTTCTGTTGAACATTCTCCTCGACAGTGCTGGCTTGTGCCCAAGGGTGTCTCTGTTAGACTCCAGCACACTGATAAAACTGCTCGCTCCTCCGTGAGGAGACCCTCTCACGAGCTGAGGGTGGTGATCACGGTGTGCTGTAACGCAGTCCATGCAAGTGCCGGATTCGGTGCTGGAGCAGCCAAGAAGTGCAATGGGCTGTGCTCCGGCTGCGGCACAGCTGAGGGGACATCAGACGTGGAAAGCCATTTCATTGTTCCTACTGCTGGTCTCTGAGCCTGTCCCCGACACTGAAGCACCAGCTTGTTCCAGGTCACAAGGGATGGATGCTGGGAAGGTCATTGTGTAATGTGCCCGAGGCAAATGCCATTAACGCCCGCTGGTGTCCCTGGCTTGGGTTCCTTGTTCCCGGGTCGTAGACTTTAACCCTTCTGCTCAAGCAGTCATCTCTGCTACTGATTCTGCAGAGTTTGGGGCACTCGCAGCCTTGAGCTGGGCAGAGTGGATATCCAAGGATTCAGGAGTGTTCAGTGTATTTGTATACGTTTTTTTCCCAGTTTTGACCTGACATATTTCCATGTAGGAAAAGCCGTGTTTTTGTTGGAGGAAGGTGCCAAAAAGGTACTACATCTGGCAGGCTTAAATTGAAGCATTTGCGTAGATGAGCACGATGGATTGCTGAATTATTACTCCTTAAGTGGACGGGAAATATTTGTTCTGTGTAATCACGTTAATATATCAAATGAGCAATTAGTCACTGTAAGGGAGGCTGGCAGAGCAGAACGGGGAGAAGCTTGTAAACAAGCAGCTCGTATCTTACTGGGCTCTTGGTGTTATTGGATGTTACGAATGGCCAGTGAAAAATCTGGGACGGGAAATACCGAGTGCAGCACAACCACCTGGAGGTAGAGTGCTTCCGAGAGCCAGCGGCTCTGCCTGTGCAGTCATTAAACACTGTTCCAAAATGCTAATTTAGGGCGTAAGAACGCTTGGTGGCTGGATGAAGTTATGTGGGGAAATAATAACCTTGTACTTCCATCAGTGTAAGGTAGGATGTGGGGTTAAGGGTCTGTAATGGTAACCACAGAGCTGCTTCTCAGCACGGACATGTGGTTGTGGTCAGTTTTCTTCAGAAACATCAGCTTTCTGGGTTTCCCGTGTTGCGTTGGAAGGGCTCTAAACGAGATCCACTTGTCTAGGAGAATAAAGTAGCTGAGAAACTAGTCTTTGCTGCGAGTGATTATTGGTCCTCCAGTGCTGTTTTCAAGAAAATGATCCCGACAAGAGCCGGTTCTGGAGCAGCGAGCCCTTCTGCCCCGGCTGGCACCCAGCCCTCCCCACGGAGCCCAGCTGCAGCCGGTGGGAGCTGCGGTCGCATGGCCGCAGCGCGAACGCAGGGAAGCGGGTCCCGCTCCTGCGGCCGAACGCCTCTGATCACGCAAAAGGTTTCCTACCCGAATCTAGTCGGTAGGTACGGAGAAGCCAGGGTGCCAGGGTGACGGGCACGCACGCCTTCCATGCCGCAGCAGCAGCCTGGCTCCGTGGCATTACGGCAGCGTGGCCGGCTGCTCCCAGGCAGAGGAGGATGCTGGAGGAATGCTGCGCTATCTTAAGAGATGATGCCAGCGGAGGAAAATGCAGTGGATCCCAAGGCTTGTAACAAGCCGTGCCTGTTAAACGCACAGCGGTGGTTTTATTTCTGTGACGTGGGAGGTGCGCTGGCAGGCTGAAGCAGCTTCGCTTTCCACTGTGGTTATTAGACATATTTCTCAAGCTGGTCAACCTCCAGGCTGCGAGAGAGGACGCTGGCTCGCCATTATTTCCAGATCCTTAGTTTGCAGCCAGCCACGTGGCAAATCAATTGTGTATCGGTCTATCTGCTGGTAAAGTGTTTGGAAGGAAGAAGAGGGAGAGGGAGGGAGATGCCACGCCCTTCCGTGCAGAGCCAATGCTAGGGCTGCGCTCGCAGCCGGCCAGCGGGCTGTAGTTTAAAAAAGTGGATTTTTAAAAGTGTATTGACCATGAAGTTAGACTAACAACTTCTTCCGCAGAGTCTGGCTTGGTGCTTCTAGTTGTAGCATGGAAATTCTCCAGGGACTAGCTAGATCATATTAGAAATGCAGGTGGATACCTGTTGCCCATCTCTTCTGTAACTCAAAAACGGTTGCTAGCTCACTGGTTTTCACTCTGTTTGGCTTTCAGACAGCCACGATGCCGTCTTGCGATTCAATGGGGCTCCTGTCAAGGGGTTTGAAGAAGATGTGGGGCAAAAGACAACAATTCGTCTTGTGAACTCCCAGGTAGGTCTGACAAACGTGTGCCAAATGGGCCAAGCACAGCAGAGCTGCATTCCTCCCCTGAAATAACATCATCTGGGGGGCTTCTGGGTTCATCTGCTGCTGGGAGGTCTTTAAAATTAATTTGAGGAGAACAGGGTTTTCCATCCGATTTCTCCTGTCCCTGGCAGATAGCTGTAGGATGGGGACACCCTTCCCTGCAACAGAGGACAGTTGGCAAACCTTTTCCCCATAGCTGAGATATAACATGCAGTTAAATTAGCATGTGCTAGTGAACCTGCAGTAGCCTGCTTGCGATTTATGGTAAGCACAAGGTAATTTGATTTTTGGCTTGGCTCGAAGCCTTTTTCTAAGTGCAGGAGGGCCAGCTGCACGCTTGCTGCTGCGCTTTGGGAGCGTGAGGCAGGGACGGCACCGCAGCTCAGCTAACGCTGCTCAGCAGACCAGGGTGTGCCAAGAGCCAGGTTGTGCCTGCCCCAGAGGTGGGTGTGAAGAATGAAGGAAGTTTATTTGGCTTTTAATAAAATAACAATACTTTTGCTCAGCGACACCACAGGCTCTGAAGATAACGCACTAACCGCGGTTAAATGGCTAAAGACAAATGGCAAAGGACACACCTTTAACGCTGTAGCTCGCATGCAGCCAGGAGGGTGTGTGGACTTGGGTGGGTGAGTCAAGAGGGTCCAGGACCTCATTGCAGAGCACAGCAGAAGGTACCCCGTAACGCAAGGCATCACTTAACGAGTTAAATTCTTCTTGACTCTTTGAGAGCTCTTTCTGGGTATGAGGCTGTGTCTCTGCTAATTTTCTTCAGCCTTCAATCAGCTTTGAAGCAGACCCTCAGTGGTTAGGGCCATGTCTAGCAATATGTTAGCAGGGTTAATAAGCCACCCATTGAGGAGCAGTGAGACCCACTACAGACCGTCGCTGCTCTAGGAACATCTTGGAGAGTGTTTGCACCCTGCTTCCACGTAGCTGTCACGCTTCATGTTTGCCCATTTCGGGGGGAGAAATTTTCAAGTGTAGACCTGTGGAGAGAAGAGGAAATCAGAGTGGCATATGCTGGTGAGAGAAGGGAGGGGGACAGGAAAATATGGAATCGGCCAAGAGTCGTCGGATGAAAGACCGGGTGCAGCATTGCAGTGCAGGGTACGAGCACCTCCTCACCCAGGAAGAGGAGGCTGAGGGCACGTGAAGATTGAGGGGGTGAATGAGGGAGAGATGGGGGACTGAAGTGTAGCTTTTGTGCTCCAGAGCCGAAAAGGCAGTTTCCTTTCCTCATCCCAACGCTAAGATTTATAGGTCTGGAGTTTTCTCATCTGCTCCTGTGGGAGGGGTCCAGGGTGCTGCTGTGTAACAAGGTTTGAAGTTTCTCAAAGCAGGAGCTTGGCCATCCTCTTCAAAGACAAGATGTGGAGCTAGCTTGTAAGCGGTTCCCTAGTTCATTTTGTGTATCTTCTGAAGTATGTTCTTGCTTCTTGTGCTTCTTGCTGTTTATGCTCTTGGGTCTCACCTTCTCCCCTTGGACCGTGCTCTGTCCTGCTGCTTGCTGCATCTCGGTTCCCCGGCGTTAAACCAGCAGTCGGATGTGGGACAGTTTGTCCTTTCTGAACCGATCTTTTTTTAGCAGACCTATCTGGCTGCTGACATCCATCTTCCTCTGCCCTGCTTGACCTCTCCATTTTTTTATCTTTCCCTTCCGTGTGTTTTTATGATGTCAGATAGGTGTTATCGCTTAAGAAAACTTTCTCTGGAGGATGTGCCCTTTGCCAAACTTACTGTGATATGAAGTCATTTACCAGCAAAAACATGTATGTGACCTGCCCGATACCAGGGTTATCTGCAGAGGGAGGAGGGGAACCGTGTCATTGTACAGCCGTAATACAGCAGTAATAACTCTCTTATTTTGACCTTGAGTGTAGTTACAGCCATGTTGTTATAGAGCTTCTGTTCTCCATGCAGATCAGCCTGCAGCCGTGGGCGACACTTTTCATCTGCCACCATCCCCTCTGAAGGGACCCTGGCTTAAAAGTCTTCAATTACAGGGAGAGCAAAATAACGGCGGTTTTTAGAGGCTAAAGTTAACTCAAAATGCAGCGTTGATCTAGCTGCTGAACTGGGCAAGAGGTGCTCTCCGTGGGAATGGAGCAGGAGTCTCTCTTCTGGAGTTTCTAAGCTGAACAGCTCTACATGCACTCCCTGTTATCTTCTGGAGTCACTGCACTGGGAGCCTGGTTTTCTTCTGTGTTTTTCTTTGCACCTTGAATGGTTCAGTGCTGTCCTAGTCCTGGCAACATCACTTTAACCTCGTTAGTGGGGTTGCCTGATGGCATTTTGTTGGCGGCTTGGCGCAGGAGCTGTGCCTTGCCTCGCAGAGAGCTCTTGCAGGCATCAGGAACCGGCAAGCTGTAATTTGTTCTTGTTTCTTACGTTGTAAGTGGTCACTGGGAACAGGGGTGGGATTGTGGCTTGGCTGCTCTTGTTTTGGCTCTTAGAATTGATCAGTCCTCAGTCCATTCCCAAAATGAAGGAAATGGGATCTCCTGAATCTAGTCTGTCAGAACTAGTCTGTATGGAATGGTATGCCTTTGGGATGTGTGGCCAGTGGCCCTAAGTTGCTTAATAATTATTTTAAGATAGTTTTCCATAATTTGCTGACCAATCTCTAGCTCATATCTGGGGTGGATGGTTTTAACAGTAGGGCGGAGTATCTTGTACATCTGTGTGCATAG